GGAGCAGTGGCCTACTGGAGTGAATAGGGTCACAGACCTGGGGGATTACGAGTGACTGGGTGCAAGGTGGGGAAGGAGGTATTAACCTTCCCAGACTAACCCACTTGCCAGGTGGGTCCCTTTGCCCTCACAGAGCAGGGAGGGCCCAGAACTGCTTGCTAGAGTCGCACGCCTCACAGGCGGCAGAGATCCCTCCCCCAGGCTCTGGCTCTGGGCAGGCCCAGAACTGCTTGCAAGTGCCGCGGGCATCCCGTGGGCAGTGGCAGAGGAGTCCTCCATTCCAGGTAGACCCAAAACAGCTTGCTACAGACACGCACACCCCACGGGGGCCAGGGGAGGAGTTCCCCGCTCCAGGCACCCAAGCTGGGTGTGCCTAGAACCACTTGCTAAAGCCACGTGCACCCTGCAGGTGGTGGTGGAGGGGTCTACCACTCTGGGCGGGCCCAGAACTGTTTGCTAGAGCCACGTACGTCCCACGGGCAGAGGTGGGGGAGTTCCCCACTCCAGGCTCCCGTCCTGGGAGGGCACAGATCAACTTGCTAGTGCCGTATGCATCCAACAGGTGACAGTCAAGGAGTCCTCCACTCCCCCCTCCCCCAGCTACTCTGGCGGGGCTGAACTAGGACTGATCTGGTCGCTTGCGTACCCTGCACTACCGCTGCCATTCCCTCACCCCCTGGCTGCTCCAGGGTGCTGAACTAGGACTGATCTAGCTACTACAGTTCCCCTGTTCCACCAGTTGCCCCAGAGGGGCCGAACTAGGACTGATCCTGCTGCTGCCGGTCTCTTGCCCCCCCTTCAGTCGCCCTGGCAGTCTGAATGAAGTCTAATCCAGCCACGCACACTCCCGTGCAGCTGCTACCATTCCACTGCACCCCAGTTGCCCCAGCACCCAAGAACTGGAAGAAGACAACAGACACACTCTGCCTGTCTCTCTGGGCAACCAAAAGAAGCTACCAACTGAACTGTTCTGATAAGGCCTCCAAACAAGGTAAACTCAGCATGGAGCGGAATCAGCAGAAAAACTCTGGCAACTCGAATAACCAGAGTAGATCAACCCCTCCAAGGGAAAATGGGACAGACACAATTGAAGACCCTATCCACAAGCAAATGGCTGGGATGTCAGAAATCAAGTTCAGAATGTGGATAGCAAATAAGATTAACAGAAAGGAAGAAAAGAAGGAATTAGGAGTTCAAGAAATTATTCAAAAGATTTCTCAAGAAATTATTCAAAAGATATCTCAAGAAATTATTCAAAAGATATATCAAGAACTCAACAATTTCAAAGTTAAAATGATCAAAGATTTTGAAACACTGAGACAAGAGGTTGCAGCCCTCAAGGATCTGAAAGACACGGTGGAATCCCTCCATAACACAGTGCAACAGGCAGAAGAAAGGATCTCTGACTCTGAAGACAAAGCTTTT